GGGATGCGGGCAGCGGGGATGCCTTCTCTTATCAGCAAGGCACCAGGCAGCACGGACAGATGGAGCGTCCTGCTGTCACCGCGCTGGTGCCCCTTCCAGGCCCGACGGCATCAGCATCTGCCTGACAGCCTCCGAACAGCCAGAGGGTCTGACTTCCACGACAGGAGTTTTCACTGCTTGGGAAAAATTACCTGCTATCATCTCAGATCAGGTTAGTGCTTCTTGATTAGAGTCCACAATCCTGCACCTCTTGAAAAACAAGCACTATAATTAAAACATTTCTTTCTTACTTTCAGTTTCTGTCTCTTTTGCCACCCAAAAAATACCAAGTTTTAGTTGTTGAAAGTCCACGGGACCAGCAACAGTTTTCACGTGTATATAGAATCATAGAATCGTTAAGGTTGGGAAAGACCCTTAAGATCATTGAGTCCAACCGTTAACCCATCACTACCAAGTCCAACACTAAACCATGTCCCTAAGCACCACGTCTACCCTTCTTTTAAATACCTCCAGGGATGGGGACTCAACCACTTCCCTGGGCAGCCTCTTCCAGTGCCTGACAGCCCTTTCGGTGAAGAAGTTTTTCCCCAATATCCAACGGTATGCCACAAAGCTTCCCCGCAATATGAATAAAAAGAAGCAAAATGCATAAAAACCTGTTTCACTGCATACACACTTTTGCTGCCCAAATTAAATCTCCATTGTTCTTGGTCTCATCAGGAAATACGAGTAGAGATGAAGAAGAAAAAAAAAAAACAAAAAAAAAAAGTTATTTTTGGAATTAAGGAAACAAACGGGAAGGGCACAGCCAACAGACGCCGGAGCGCTGTGGCACCTCTGCGTTCGCAGGGTTCTCCCACCGCGGGTTTGCAGGCTGCAGGCAGACCTCCGAGCCGCAAAGCACAACGCTGGCTTTGCCGCTGCCGTACGGCCGTTCCAGACCCGTTCTTCCAGAGACTGAACACGTGCAAATATCCCCAAGTGATAAACACCTGCCAAAGCCTGTTTCTTGTCTTCTCAACTCCCAGCTGAAACTTGCCATAGGCCTGCGAACCCGCAGCCTTATTTTAGCGGGCAGCAGATGGCCTGGCCGGGAGAACTGCCCGGCCTTATAAAGCAGCAGAGGGAAGGCCGGCCGCCACGGCGCAGGAGGCCGTCGCCTCTCCCGCGGGCACCTTGCAACCACAGAGCCGGCGGGAGCTGAGGGCTGAACTGCGTGAGCGGGGTCACGAACGCCGAGGGGCAGGGTGGAATATAAACGTCATCTAGTCAGATTATTTTTTATTAGTGTTAAGCAGACAGCTGAAATACGAGTTGGGGCCTTCGCAGAGGAGTCACCCTCACCTATAAACCCTTGTAGCTCCTTAAGGCTGGCTGACTGCCTAAAAAGGCTCCGTGGGACGTTATCCTCCTCATCTCCCCCGGTGAGGAAGGGCGAAGGCCACAAAACGCGCCCGGCGGGCGCTTCCCCCCGGCAGCGCGTCTCTCTCCTCGTCGTGTCCGACTGCGAGGACCGAGGGGTCCCGGCCGCAGCCGCAGGCTGCCCCCGGCCCCGGGACCCCCCTTACGAACGGCACGGCCCCGCTGCGG